TGTCGTCAATGAATTCCTGCAATTTCTCTCTTTATTCCACCCATCCTCAGACCCATGCACCAGGGAAGAGCCAGCAGAAGAGTCCAGCCAAAGCTTTGAGCAGTGATTTTTGTCTGAAAAGGATTAGGGTAGGAAAGAAATGATAAATTCCTCCTCAGTGGAAGCCTGCAGCCTCAGTCTGTGGTGTCTTGTGATGTGCCAGCCTTCAGGATCTCTGGGGTGGTGATTTGTGCTGCTGTTCTTGCTCCATTCAGCACACATCAAGCCTTGTAAAACAAGTGGGAATGGCATAAGTGATGTTCCCTGACATGAAGAGGAATAGGAAACCTTCCATCATTAGATCCTTTGGGCTGTGGAGCTCTGCATGGCTCTGTAAGTCACAATGCCTTGCCAGCAGTGCTGTAATTGTGTGTGAAGCAGTTCAGCACTCATTTCTCCCCTCTCCCACGAGATTCTTTCCCTCTTGAGAGGCAGCTCTCTGCTCTCTGTGCTCTCATTCCCTTCATGTTGCCACTGCCACCACCCCTAGACTGAGACATCCCCCTCCTGAGGTAAGAACAACCCCCAATTTCTTAGCTTCTGGATTTTGGGGGAATTCATTCATGCCAACCCTCGTGCCTCCAGAAAAGCTCAGTTCACTAACTTGTAACACAGCTTGATGTGTTCTGAATTCCACCTCCTGCCAGTTTCAGAGTTATAGGAATATTCTTTTTCTGTGCTGCCTGTGAGGGCAGTTATTGCTGCTCCTGGAGCACAGGTTTGGTTACTTTTCCACTGCACAGAGCAAAGCCAATAATTAATCAAGGAGAAAGGAACTGTGGGGCTCATTGGCATAGAAGACTGATAGGAGTGTTTAAGTTTTCAAAATGGGACAGGTCATTTTCATGACTAACAGGGGTATTTACATTTAAATTAAGGCTCATAAATTTAAGCTACCTCCTATCTAACAAGAGCCAGGAAAAGACCTGTGGAGGATGAATTACTCCTATGAGTATTCTGAGGTTTTTTTCCTCAGGCTTTGAGATGAATGAGTGTGACAAGGTCAGCTTTGTCCTTTCAGCAAACATTAGCTGTGCTGCAGGTCTCCTGTTGTTCAGCACTTTGGCTGCCCAGTTTGGGAAATGTCCTTCATTCAGTGCCCACCTCAGACCCCAGCCTGGCTGCAGAGGTGCATTCTGTGCACAGGGTGAGCTCCTGAGCCCAGCAGAGCAGTCTCACCTGAAAAAAAAAGCCTGGAATGGGGAGACCCTTTCCTCAGCACCCCTCCACATGCTTTACACCTGCTAAATTGCAGTAACTGCACCCACCAGCAGTGCCTGAAAATGAGAGCAGCTTTCTCAGGTGCCTGCCAAGAGATTGTTCCCCTGTTCCATGGACTGCAGCCCTGCTGTGCCCTGCAGCCTCCACACACTTTATTATCCTGCAGATTCTCCCTCCCCACTGCAAACCTGACACAGTTATTTCTCAAGCTTTCCCTGCCCTTGGCTGTGAATTGCATTATTGCCACTGATTTCTGTGCTGGTGGTAGTTAGAGGAAAGAACAATGGGCTCTGGGCTCATTGTGAGCAATAACAAACTTTCAGTGTCCAGTTGGGACTCTTATTAAAAGAAAATAAAATGGAAAAAAAATTCAGGGAAAAGGTTCAAACCATTCTATGCCTGGGGTCACATCACTGCCTGAGTTATTTGAGAAAGTCTGTGACACTTTCAGTCATCTCTCAGGGTGCCTTTCATGGCTCTGTTAGCCCCAAAGACAGGAGGCTTTTCAGGAGGTAAAAGGGGCTGTTGACCATCCAAGCCACACACCCAGTGTCTCCAGAAGGGAATGGGGCAGTGGTGTGAGGTCACTCATACCCAAAAGATGGCTTTTGCTCGAGGCAGTGGGACAGGAGAGCCAGCTGTCCTTGTTCCATGTGCAAAGCCAAAGCTTCAGGCTTAATTTTGGTCAATTCCAGCTGCTGGCCACATTTATATACTTCATTATACTTCATATTCAGGAACATGCCTTCCCTCAACAAACAGGGCTTTTTGAAAACAAGGAGTGTTTTAATGATTATCTGTTAAAATTGGGGGTTTCCAGCACAGACCAGACCCTCTTGCTCTGGGTCCTGCACAGATCACTAAAAGTCTGAAGGGTGCAGAGTGATGGACAAAGAATAAAAACCAGTAGGAAGCAAGAAGCAGTAAGGAGCACAAAGATCATGTAGGCAATAGATAAAAACACAGAACCATAGAATTGCTGAGGTTGGAAAGGAAGGGATCATCAAGCCCACTGAGTTTGTCAAAGAAGACAATGTGGTTCTGATGACTGGGGGAAAATCTGTTTTTTATGATCCCAAAATCTACAACTCTTTATTTGATCCTCTTTGCCTGTGTGTCCAGTCCAATGTTCTGCTGTAAATCTTGTGGCAATAAGATTTCCCCTAGCCAGATTCAGTGATGTTCCAGCTTATGGAATGATTAAACTAAAAAATATCTAAATATATCTCTATCTAAATAGATGCCTGCAGCAAGGATTTTTTTCCCCCACTCCTTTATCTTACCTTTGCCAAGAAATACATTCAAGTGTGCCAAATCTGTTTTGTTGTTAAAGCTCTCAAAAGCAATTCCTTTCATCTCAATAACTCACAGTTTGACCTGAATTTCCTTAGTTTTAGTCCCCTGCCTCCTTCTCTCCCTAGAAGCAATGTTTCACACTCATCCTTTCATTTGCTAATCCTTGACCTGGAGGGGGTGAATAAAACAGAGGTGAGGGGGAGCTGCAGGACATTTATGGGCAGGAGATGCACAGAGGACAGCCCTGAGCAGGATGGTTCAGAGCCAGGGGCTCTCCTGGGGCTCAGCATGGGCAGCTTGGTTTCCTCATTTCTTTGAAAGCCAAACCCTGAACCTCAGCCTTTTGTTAAAAGTGAAATTCTCCAAGTGAGGCTGGTCTGACATGTCTGAGAGCAGCGTGTTGGAGTTTGTAGCTTAAATAAAAAGAGAAAGGGGTCTGAGCAGCTGGAGATTTGTTCTCCAGATTCACTCACCATGAGTCACTGAGGCTCTCAAACCAAATACCAATTTAATTCTGGCAGCCTGACTTGTTAAACTCAGAGGTGATTTACCATTGGCTTAGCAGGGTTATACCTCTGAGTGTCTCTCTGTGATTTTAGCAGAGGTGATTTTACCATTGGCTTAGCAGGGTTATACCTCTGAGTGTCTCTCTGTAAGTGTCTCATATGTGGGAGGTCTTCTGTTGTTTTTTTGTTGGTTTTTTTTTCTGAAGTGCTTGAAATCTCTGAGAGATTTGTGAGGCTGAAGGACACCACAGAATTGCTTCTGGCCCTAAGACTGACTCATTTAGCCCTAAGAACAGTACAATGAGTGAGGAAAATGATGTTTGTTGTTAAGAAGAGTGGCTTGTTTGCCTTGCAAAAGGCCTGAAGCAACAAAAAGTTGGTTTCTGGATTGTGCCTCTCTTTTTATTGTCCCTGGGGTGAGATCAGTCCCTTCCAGCTGAGAAGCTTTGAGCCACTTTCTGTGTTTGTCCCACATTATCTGGCAGCTTCCCTGGCAAGCAGGGAGCCTGATATGGCCACTGCCAAATCCCAGGAAGTGCTCTGGCTGCTTGAAACCCTGTGGAAGTGATGTTCATAAATGGAGAGGTGTTGTATTTGTGGGATGCCCCAGGACAGGGAAGGAATGATGAATCTGACTCCATGTTCTCAAAGGCTAATTCATTATTTAATAATACTATACTATATTAAAGAATACTATACTAAACTATACTAAAGAATACAGAAAGGATACTTCCAGAATGCTAAAAACATAATAATGAAAACTCCTGACTCTTTACAGAGCCCTGACACAGCTTGGCCCTGATTGGCCAAAAAGTAAAAACAATTCCCATGAAACCAATGAAACAATCACCTGTGGGTAAACAATCTCCAAACACATTCCAAAGCAGCAAAACACAGGAGAAGCAAATCAGATAATTATTGTTTTCCTTTTTCTCTGAGGCTTCTCAGCTTCCCAGGAGAAAAATCCTGGGCAAAGGGATTTTTCCAGAAAATATGAATGCCATAGAGAAGGGGTTTGCTTTGAGCTGAGAAAAGGCAATTTAATTGAAGATTCTATAACTGCAACACTGCAGTTCACAAAGAATCAGAAATGTTTTGGTCTTGAACGACTGAACCTGTCACGAGTGACTCTGTCTTGCTTCAGTGATGCTTTGTTTTCTGGCAATTGCATCATGCCCTGGCTGCCTCCTGGAGCCATTTCCAGCAGCAAGTATATTTCAGATGTGCCCTCTCTCTTTTGTTTTATGGCACTGTGTCCCAGCTTACTGTAGCTCATATTTTACATTGTGCTCATAATTTACATTGCACCTGAATGGGGGCTGGGGAGGGACTAAAGCCAGACACAAATATTTCCTGATGAAGGAGGATGTGCAGCTCTGCCTCATTTAAGGTACAAGTTTAAGCCAGCTAAGCCCAGGATTGAAAAGCAGGCAGTTAATGCTCTCCTGTTACATTAATTCAAACTCACACAGGTGAACCTGTTCAGGAATTAACCAAATGTAAACTATTCCAGCTTTGCCACTCCAGCACAAATATTTGTCACTAAATCTCCTCCTGTGAGCAACTCAGCAGCCTCCAGGGCAGCCTGGTTGTTCAGAGGCTTTTCTATCAATTCCAGTGGTTCTAGAGATGGAGGGAAGGGGAGCAAAACTAATAACCAAGGATGAAAGAACAGTTTGAATGTTTGATTTTTTTTTTATCTTCCAGTAGATCCAAGCAGTTTCACTTGCTTGACTTGATTCAATTGTGTTGTCAAGACAAATTTGTTGTCCATGGCTTTGCAAAAACACAAACCTCCTTTTTCACAGAGTAACAGAGGGATTGCAGGGGGATAAACGATGCAATGAGCAGAATTTACTCATTTGTTCTGTATGGTTTCTGATGTGTGGGTGGATATATTCATTATATATGTTCACTTCAGTGTGTTTCCCTGCTCAGGAGTATCAGATGTCTGAGGAATATTATCCACTGGAACTTGATCACCACGTTCATCCTGAGGAATGTGATGTGGTTTCTGCTTCAAATGATAGATCACAACATCCATGAGAGCAATGAGGTGAGTGCAGGGAAGTGGCAGGGCCCTGCCCTGGAGCTCAGGGTGCTGAGTTTCTTTGTATGGATATTTCAAGGGACACTTAGGACATTTATGACCCTTACACCACATGCTCAGAGAGGCTTCCATGCTTCCCTTTATTCCAGTGTCAGCTGGGCACTCATCATCCTTGATGAGCTCTGATCTGACATCTGACATCTGAACTTCAGTCTCATGCTTTGGGAAAACAAATAGAAATCATTAGTGCCCACATTAAGAAGATGTCTATGCATAAATCTCAATTATTACTCTCACAGAGCTCCTTGGAGAAAATGTAAATTCTGTTAATTCAGTGTTTGCTCTGTCTGTGCTTCTGGCAGTGTCACACTCCAGAAAATGGAGTTTATGAGCTTTATGGCCAGCAGTTCCATGCTGTGTGACTTGCCCTCATGATAATGCTGCAAATCTCAAGTGAGATTTTTACAGTTATTTAGGAAAAATCTGTTGGAGACAGGACTCAAATACCTCTTAAAATGTGAGCACAAGGTGACAATGAAAATATAAACCTGCAAATATAAGGATGGGGCATCACATGCCCCAGTTTTCATTAACTCATCTTTTCTCTGCAGCCTTATTGGGAAAGGTGCTTTATACAAGCTTGGTGAATACTTTGTTATGTGATTGTGGGATAAGTCAGTCAAAGTAGCACCACCAGAATTAATGGGAACATCATTTATTCTGGCTATTGATGTGATCTCTTCTGTGCTGATCAGTGGAGATTAAATAACACATACAGAAGCATCAATGTGGAAATATTTTGCATTAAGCTTATAATGCTTGCAAAAAAAATCAAGAAGGAATGGGTGAAGTTATCTGGAGCCTCATGGTGGGCACATGTGGGGATCAAGAATCCTCAGTTAAATAAACAGAGAGGTGTGAACTAATGAGCTCTGCAATTTTGGTTTACTGTTCAATTTTAATAAATCCACAAAGGACTTGCTCAAAATTCATCAGAATCTTCCCAATCCACCATCCTGTTCCTCTTAGTTCTGACACAGGAAAAATTGACTTGGATATAAAGGTTTTTGTACAGTTCCAGGAAAGTGAAAGGAAAAGAAAGGAAATTTTGTTTAAACAAACATTTGAAAACAAAACGTTTAAGCTTCTGGGTTGTTTTAGGCTTTAATCCTATTTTAAGGGTGAAGCAAAACTAATTTTCAAATATTAATGAAATAATACAGAAATGAAAGTGTTAACACATCCAAAAGATTTCTTCTTTTTATTTCCATTCAATACACAGAAGTGATCACAACTTGTGGATGGGCTGTCATTTTGTGACTGTGCTTCTTGCCCAGTAAATTCTAAAACCTCAGAATTTTACTGGGCTTGGTGGTGCATCTGTTGCTCTGTTGGCTGCCTGTAGACCATCAGTATCTCCTGTCTGTAAAGGCTAAAAAAAAATTAACTGAGGGTCAGAGTTGGAAATACTTCACTAGAGCTAATTAAAAGGCTGGGGAATGGTGAGACCAAAATGACCCAGGTAATTAGAGTTGTTCCTCAGATGTCTGCTTGGCAAGAAGGAAGTTTTCCCAGATTTAGGTGAGCAGCACTGTGGAAATTACCCTCAGTTCCCTGTGATTTATTGCTGGGATGTTCCCATCTGGAGCTAATTGTGCCTCCCACAGCTGTGCTCTCACTGCACAGCCATTCTGGGGAGGAAAAACACATTTTCTCACATTTTACAAAAAATTCCTGTTGAGGTTGTGGCAAAATTCAGAGGTGACATGTGACATTGTATGACTTACAGAATGAAGCACCAGTGGCAGGAACAGAGGGGATAAATTGGCTGGTAAAAACATGCTTTTAAAGTATTTTTTTTTTCTTTAAATATCAGTTGTGCTTCTTCTCCTCAGTGGAAACCAAGCAAGACCATGACATTGACACAGCTCACCTGTGGTGACATGACTTGCTCCTCTTGGAGGCTTGTTCTGGAACCTGAATTTTCCAGACAGGTTTGGATACAGCAGATCCTGTGTGTTATGGTCAGAGCCAGCCTCAACAGAAGGTCACAGATGGATCTGGGAGTTCCTGTCAGCACCTAAAATACTGTGATTCCAAGCCACAGGATAAATCTGCATCCCATGAGTGAATTCTACCATTGATTTTTTTTTTTTAAGGGAATAACAACATACAGAGTCTTTGAAATGTTCTCACCATGACTTTAAAATATTCTTTTCTGTTCCCTTTCCAGCCCTGGTGTCGATGTATTACCACTGTCTACAATTACTTTGTGGTGACCAACTTCTTCTGGATGTTTGTGGAAGGCTGCTACTTACACACTGCTATAGTGATGACTTACTCCACTGATAAGCTGAGGAAATGGGTCTTTCTCTTCATAGGATGGTGTAAGTGACCTTTGTGGTTAAAATGGTGCTCGGTGGTACCTGGCATTAAAGTGTTAAAGACAAAGAGAGGCAAGAATAGATATTATAAATCCCCCTGGGGTGAAATCTGGACCACTCACTCTGAATAGACTTTTCTAAGTGTGGAGCTGACTTGAAAAAGAGCCTCATTACCCACAGCTGCTGAGGGATTTGTTCCTAGAAAACAGCCTTTAGCAAAGAGTCACACATCATCTTTGGACTGTCCTTGGGGCTGCTCAAAGACTCACCTGTGGCAAAGCTGCCTTTGGGATGCTGTGGTCAGTTTTGGTCCTTGAGGTCAGAAAGGGATGTGGAAAAACTGAGGAGATTCTCCAGCTGGAAATGTGATCAGGGATCTGAAGGCCATCAGCTGTGATGTGAGGCTGAAGGGGCTGAGCTGTTTTAATGTGGCAAAGAGGAAGATGAGGAGGGATCTGTTTGGTACCAGGAGTGATCTGAAAGAGAATTACAAAGATGATGGAGCCAAATGCTGCTTGGTAATAGCAGGTGTTGTAAAAAGGGACAAAATCCATAAACTGCAGACTGGGAGGTTCCAGTTGGGTGTTAAGGAAACAGAAAATGTACCAGGAGATGGTGGAACACTGGAATATGTGACATAAAAGCTGTGAAACCTCTGACCTTGGGGTTATTAAAAATTTAGCCAGGCTGTACCCTGGGTGAGTTTTGAAGGTTCTGCTCAGAGTAAGAAATTGGAGCAAACACCTTCAGAGATCCTTCCCAACCAACATCTCCATGTTTGAACTCTGCCAGGAGATGCTTGCCAGGACAAGCCCATGCAGGCAGTTTGTTCACTTGAATGAAAATCTAAGGTCAAACAGAACTAGTGAATCTAGTAGTTTTTTTCTGTTGAAGGAAGAAAGGTGGAAAAAAGTCACCAATATTTTCTTTTGTGAAAGCAGAATGACATTTTGTTCCGAAGTGCCTCTCCCTCTCTGCAGAAGTAATTGGATTGCAATTCTGAAGGCAGAAACAGCCTTTGAAACAAAATATGTCATTCAATCCAAAATCAAATGGGAGGAAAGAGGAGTTGTAGTAGAAAGAAAATGTTTATTTGGGGAGTTGATTCAATTTTTTCCCCAATAGTTTTCAATTCTCTCAGCAAACTGGAAAATCAGCTGCTTACACAGCTCTCACACACCCACAGACTGCTTTGATTCCTGGTGTTTTCACTCCCTACCTCTGTCAGAATCCTCTGGGTCTCTGATTACCAGTGTAGGAGTGCTGTGAGCTGAATAAACCTTTCCAGCCACCTTGTGGGTGCATTCTGGCTCTGCTCTGCCTCCTCATACACGTTTTTTTACCAGTCTTATTCTCAAATCCCTATTCTTCACTTAACAAGGAAAAGTAAAATGTTTTCCTTCAGGAGAGAGGACGTGGCTCCATTTTCCCTGTCCATTCCTCCAAGAACATGGGGAAATGAGTGCACCAGACCCTTTAAATGTGTGTGGTGAACAAGATGGAACAAACCCAATTATCTGAAGGGCACAGGAGCCACCAGGGATGATGGGGCAGGAGATCAGAGCTGCTGAGGTTCAAGATGACCCCACAGCAACTCAGCCCCTCTGTGTTGTGGTTCTCCTTCCATCTCTTCAAAGTCTCCATTGCCCGCAGAAGGGGCAGCAAGAGGGAGGTTAAAAGAGACAAATTTGTGTCAGAGACAAATGCACCTCTGCTCCTCCACGGGGGTCAGAGTCACTGGGGCTCTGTCCATGCTCTCACCTCAGTGATTTCAGTGGTTTCAGAGACATCAACCTGCACTTTGGAATGGGGAATGGAGCTGCTGAGTCTGGGTTTTCCTGAGGTGAGAAGTTTAAGGGGGAATGGAGAGGCAAAAATCTCCCCTTTGAATTTTGACATCCCCTTGCCTAAGTGTGAGTCAGGAGGCCACTTCCATTTACTCTTCCTCCCTTCCAGGTGCCTCCTACAGCAAATCTGCTTCAAACCAGCTGGTTTGGAAGGGCTAACACAAACCCTTTATAGGGAGTGCAGTGATGTCTGTAAAGTTAAAAAGTAGCTAGATCCTTCAGAAAGAGAAAAAACCCCAAGAATTCTGATACTGCAAGACACCAAGCTATTCTTTCTCATAATCCTGTTTCATAAGGAACACTGAACTCAAAAAAAAAAAAGTGGAAAGTTTTGAAATTGTGCTTCATCTAGAGATCCCAGTATGTTTACAAGCTTCTTGGAGCCTGGGAAATAAAAACCTAAACACTCACTTCCAAGTACTGTCTTTAGAGATTCTGCTGTACCAGCTGCAGGAAAATGAAAAGGGACCGAAACTGCCTTTAAGTCAGCCAAAATTCTTCTGGTCACTTCTATGGAAGCATAGGTATTTATGTGTGTGTTTGTTAATATTTTTATTAACTTTCCTTACTAAAAGTTTTGTTGGGATGATCTTTTTTCATTTTTAAATGAAAGGATTTTAGCAGTTGTGATGTCTCAAGCAGACTAAGATAGGACCACTATTGTTTAGAGTCTCCCATTCATTAACTGAGACTCTCCTCACACAGATATGAGTTTAATTTGGTACCATGGACACATCCATCCATTATTAACTCCTAATTTTTTTTTTTTTTTTTTTTTTGCCCCTGCAGGTATTCCCTGCCCAATCATCATTGCCTGGGCCATTGGCAAGCTGTATTATGAAAATGAGCAGTAAGTGATGTTAATGTTTGTGTTTGTGTGGCTGTCTAAACAAATCAGGAAATGAGTACACATCTGAACCATGTCCCAGGTCACATATTCCTGCTTCCCCTGGCTGTGCATTTCCTTCTTCCTCAGTTTGAGGAGCTGCTCCTTGCTCAGCCATTCCCAATCCCTGCCTGTCTTCCCTCATTTCTCACACGTGGCACTGGGGAGCTCTTGTTCCCCAAGAAAAATGTCCCTGAAGAGCTGCCAGGTCTGATGAGTTCCTCTGTCCCTAAGGACAGGTTCCCAGGGGGATCTCATCCACTGATTCTCCAAACAGCTGGAAGTTCCTCTTCTAAAATGGAGGGTCCTGACTTTGCTCCTTGCCAGAGCTTTTGTCCATTTGTCCTGAGCACTGGGGGAGTCATGAGCTGCTCCCAGGAGGTCACACCCAGCCAGATGGACACAGGCAGCAAACATGGACTGGCTGCAGCTTCCTGTGGAAACCCAGGGCACTGGGAATGTTTCTCTGTCTGCTCTGGGCTGCCCTGGCCCCCAGGGCAGCACTGACTCTGACCCTCATCCATGGAGAAAGTTTCCCAGACTTCAGCATAGACTGGAATCCACAAAAGTGTGAAATAGATTATAGAGAGCAATGCAGGTGTGTCACTGGGTGAGAAATTGAGGTTTTGGGGTTTTTAGTGTGTTGTGGATGGAAGCAAGATGGAGGGCACAGGGTGTCACCCTGGGTTTCTGCTCCATGCTTCTTCTTCCTCCTTCTCCATGGGTTTGGGTGGCATTTTGTAATTGGGCAGAAAAGTCCCCACTGGGGGCTCTGTGGGATCAGTGATTGGGTTAAAAGGGAAAATAATCCAGGTGTCAGTTCTTAATTGGATAGTTTAGTCTGAAAAGACCTTGGAGCAAGAGATTGTTGGCATTTTGTGCCTTCTAATGAAAAGCTGCTGAACTCCCAGTAGTGAGGCTGTTTTACTGATAAGAAATAATAAACACTTAAATCCAAACATAAATTACTATCTCAAGTGCCTTCAATCCAAACCCAAAGAAACCAACAAGTACCCCTACACTTCCAAGACTGTTTGGGACTGCCCAAAATTCATGAAAAATGGGAATTTCCTCTTTCTCTGTCTGGAGTATCCATTTAAGCTGTGTGGAGGTTGAGCTGGGGTTCAGGTAGTGCAGCTCCTCATCGTAGTTTAAAAGCTTAAAATAGAAAGAATGTTAAGAAAATGCTTCAAGCAACTTCTTGACTTTTTAATCTTTGTATTTAATAGAGATCTTTAATATCTATTAATATTATTTTAATAGAGATCTTTGTATTTAATAGAGATCAGTTGCTGCACAGTGAGGCAACTATAATTGGTACTGTGGCAAATATCCTGCCTGGGGTTTATCACTTCTTTAGCAAAATATGGCAACTCTGGGGAAAAAAAAGTGCTGTTAAATCTCAATTTAAAAAATCACCCACAAATTATTAAGAGCTATTGCAGTAGTTTCATTGATGGGTATTTGTTAAGGGGAGGAACATTAGTGAGATCTAATTAACAATAGTGATAAAACCAGTGGTGGATTTGGTTTTATAAAGAACTATCAGAGATCCCTGAAGAATATTAAGTAGTGCTATTCAGCAGAAATATGTTTTACATATCTGAGTCTTATCACAACTGTCTTCCTGGATTGTCCTCTTCAATATTCAGGGGGTGTTTATTTATCTTTCCAGGGGTAAAAAAAAAAGAATAAAAAGTGGTTAAATGGCTTTTATTTCCCACAGATGCACCAAATAATAGTCAGTGATTTAAGTTTCGCTTTTTGCTTTCAATGAAATTATTTTATTGCAGGAACAATGGCTTGTGTTGGATTTAAAGTAAGAGTTCAGATGATTGGCAGAACAGTTTGCAATGTCTTAGCTAAAAGTCCTAGTTGGAACAGTTAAGACTCTAAATATGAAATATTGTTAATCAATTGCAGACATTTGTAATGTTTCTGGCAAATGACTGTCTCCTCTTGGCGTTACTCACCCAATTTATTAGAAATATTTACATTACAGTGTAACAGATCTGGTTTATTACTAATGAGAATAACACAGACCTAAAAAAGCTGTTGGATTTTTTTTTCTTCACTACCTACAAAAGGAACCTTGGAGCATCAACACCCCTGGAGAGTCCTGTGTTGCAGAGTCTGTCCTTGGCCACAACCTTGTTTCCTCAGTGTGGAAATAAATCCACATTAATTCTTCACTCAGCACAACCTTGGTCTAATACTGGACTTCAGATAATAAATTTCAGCATTTTGGTCTTTGAGCTAAGCAACATTTAAATTCCAGAGAGCAACAAGAGCAGCCTTTGCCTGGAACCTCATTTGTGCTCTACCAGCTCAGTTCCAAATTCTTTGCTGCCTTTTTCTAGCCCACTAATTTCTGCCACATGCCTCAGTCCTGCTTCATGTAAGTCCCACTGCTAGGGCAGCCAGCTTCCCAGGAACTCTTTGCTCCTCTTAGTTCTCTGAGTTTCAGGCAATAAAAAATAGTTCTCCCAAAATACCCTTCAAAATCTGCTCTCAAATGTAGATCTTGCAAGTTGTAGAGAAATTTGTTTCCTGCCCTTGGCATATCTTGTAATTTTTTTTTTTCATGTCTTTCCAGCTACATTAAAAAAAATAAAATTCAAAAACACAGTTTCATTCATTTAAGGCTGCCCTGGGGATTCTTCTTGGATGATAACTTGGCTGGAGGAAGAACCTTATTCCAACTCTTGCTCTCATGCCCAAATTTTGGAGGATGAGTTGCAAAATTATCAATTCACGCTCAGTGCACCGGGGAATAGCAGACATCTTTCACATTTCTAAAACATTCAAAGCTCCCTCATTCATTTGGAACTTAAAGGATGTGGGAACTGAGCCAAGAAAAAGCAAATAATTGTGAGGTACTGAACTGTTGCTGATTCCAGCTGTGTACCTCAACACCCCTGTCCAGTCAGAGCATCTTGCAATGGTCAAGCAGCTCCTCCTGTTTTAGCAAACACCACATTTTGGAGAGGGGCTTTGAGGGTGTGGCGTGATCCACAAGGATCCCATCTGAACCAGAGCTTTCCTGATCCCAGCTCATTTCCCCTGGACTTGTGAGGTTGTGTCTTACAGACTCCAACCTCTTTGAGGCAACCCATTAGATCTTGCTGCTTGTAAAAGTGCAAATGTGGCTCTGTGGTCTCTGTGGCTCGGGAATTATCTCTGTTTCCATGGTTCCAGTGGCACTAAATTATCTGTTTCACAAAGAAAGCATGGGGAAGGCACAGCTTTTACTGTATAGATTTGTTATGGGGTATCCATGACAGGGAAGAAAACTCCCAGACCCTTGAACTCCAAAATCTACTTCCTAAGGGATCTGGAGCTCCAATGATCTCAACCTTAAGGAATTATGAATGCGAATCTGTCTTAGCTTGGTGGAATCCTGGATGCAGACCCCATGGCTGTATCTGTGAAACTGAATTAGCTGGGCCTGGATTAATTCCTAGGGCTCGACTTCCAAATAGCATGGAATAATTCACAACCCCATCATTAAATCTTCTTGGCCTCCAGAATCAGGGGAGCTGCAGTTTGTGGACTATTGGGAATGTCCTCTGGCTCCTGCTAGCTCCAGATTTGTTCCCCAGGAATAGTTTTGGCCTTGGTTAGTTTTTGGCCTGGACCAAAACTACCCCAAGGAAAAGGGAATGGTGTGAGCTCAGACCTGAGCCCAGGCTCTCATTCATTTACCAACACAAACAGAGCAGATTTATTATTCTCAGGGAGGAGGATGAAGGGAGTGTCAGTGTGGGTTGCTGTGAAATCACGGGGCTCTTCTGTTGTGTAATACAGCAGGGAGAAAAACACTTGGGATTAGTGGAAGTCGGGCCAGTGCTGGGTCATGTGTGACACATCCAGGCTCTCCTCTGCTCTGGGGCTCACCTGTGATTTCTCTTCACCTGAGTCCATTTCCCAGCCTGTTCTGGGTCATCCCAGACAGCTTGGAAAGGAATGTTGGAGCAGGAATTTGGTGGCTTCACATGATGGCTCTGCTCTGTCTGCTGGCTCTGGTGGCCATGGAATCATTAGGGTTGGAAAAGGCCTCTCAGATCATGGAGCCCAGCCACTCACCACCACTGCCAGGCCCTCCACTAAACCCTGTCCCCAAGTGCCACATCCACATGGTTTTTGAGCACTTCCAGAGTCCCCAGTGGTCCCCAGATTTGTTTAAAGCCAATGGGATGACTTCTCATCCATTCAGTGTTTTATTTAGACAGCATTTCCATGCAACTTGAGACATTGCTTTAATTAATTAATGTGTCTCTGGGCACTGCAATGGATAACAGGGGTTTTTTCTCTTACACAGAATACTTCTTTAATTCCATTCTCAGGCATCCTTCTTACAGCAGGTTCTCATATTTCTTACCAATATTCACATAGGCAACAGCCAAAACCATCAAGGGAACATGAATGTTCTAATGGAAGGGAAAGTGGGGCTCAGATCTGTGTCCAACCATAGGTGATGTGCAGCAAAAAAATTCCATTACTTGCTGATTATTTATATATAAACAGTGCAGTGAGCAAAGGAACACCTCTCTATAGTGTCCTTGCAGTCTAAAAGAAGTGAATTTACCTTTACAAATGGCTTTCTTATTTGTTTTGTCTTTCACAGGTGCTGGTTTGGAAAAGAGCCAGGGAAATACATTGACTACATCTACCAAGGGCCAGTGATTCTTGTTCTCCTGGTAAGTGTTTATGTGGGTGGGAGGACACTGCCATCTCCCACTGAGAGAAAATTTGATCTGTCATGTTCCACATCCGCTTTTGTGAAAAATAAGACACAAACAAGGCCAAACATCTTCAGGTGTTCTCTGAAAAGGCCACAGCAGATAACACTGCAGGAATTGAAGTGATTTGGTTTTGGCTGTTCCTTTGGGTTTGGGCAGTTCTTTCCTCCTCCCTCTGCAGTGCTGTTTGCCTTTGTAGAAGGTTTTGAGGGTAGAAAGGAAAAATGTTAAAATCCAGGGGGTGCATTACAATATCTGCTCATCCATCTGGGGCTCATGACAACTACAGCAATTCTGTCACACACATTATTTAGAAAAAAAGTAATAATCATAGTGAGGAATTTTATCTTGCACAATCAGCTCCACTTTCTCCATCACCAGCACTGCTGTGTGTTTGTTTCTGGATTTCCTGTTGTAAAGTTTCCTTCCCAGTGCTGCCCACGCTTACCAGGCTGTTTATCTGTTTACCCAACACTCCATCTCTTGTGCCAACCAAGATTAGGCAGAGGGAGAAGGAAGCTCATTCATAACCCATTCTGAGCCTTCAGCTGAAGCACAGTGGTGCTTTCCCAGAGACAAAACAAACCTGAGTGTGGATGGAAAGTATTAGTTAGCTGTTAGTAAGGACAAAGCTGAAAAGAAATTATTCTGCTCTTCCAGGTAGATGAACCAACAGCAAATTCCCAGGACTCAGTGGGTTCCCCCTGTTAGGGAACCAAGGTGTCTTGGTTTGGAAAGGCAGGTGTCTGCTAAGGAAGGCAGGAGCCTCCCCTGAAATGGAAAATGTAAACCCCTTCCCTCTGAATTGTTAGGATTTTGAAATTAAGGGGCTCTCAGGCAAAGATATGGGAACAGGAATAACAGTTTTTTACTAGGAAAATTAAAAATACAAATGTAATAGTATAAACAAAAAAAAAAAACACTGCCAGAGTGAGAGCAGTCCCTGTCCCCTGTGTGTCAGGGGGTGGCACAGCCCCATCCCATGGGGGCTCAGCCCTCCTGCAGTGCCAGCTGTGGCTCTGCTGGAGCAGGGATCCTGCACAAGGGGGGAGTTTTCCTCTGCAGCTCCAGGGCTGCTGCAGATGGGCCTGGGCTCCCTCTGGCCATGCAGGGCAGCAGAAGCTGCTCCTCTGGCAATGCACTGGGCAAAGGCTGCTGGGCTGGGCCAGGCTCAGATTGGATCCAGGGAGGAATGCTTGGCTCCTCCCCTGGGCGGAGCATCTCCCCATGGGATGCTGGGATTGGCTCAGCCCTGCAGGGACACTCAGTGGCCATGGACAGCAGAGATCTCCTGCAGGGAGGATTGGCTGGGGGAGAGAGAAAGAAAAAACTGCCCAATGAACAGAGAGAACTGCCCCAGCTCTGACAGATGGAAATAGAACACACACTTATCTTACAACCCAGGACACAAGGTTTGCTGTAGCTGTCCCTTATGTCACTCCAGCCCCCACAGGGAAGGTGCAAATGCTCCTGAGCAGGCACCACTGGCAGCTTTCTCAGGGCTAAGGAGCCTCATGTTCTCACCTTGTCAGTGCCCTGTTCATGGGATTCAGTGTAAAAAACGTTTCTGTGCTGCCCAGCAGCTGATCTGAGTGTGTGTCCTGAGAGCAGGAGAGTTCATTTCTGTTTAATTGTTAAGATTAACAATCTTAACAATCATTTCTGTGTTAATTGTTAAGATACAGCAAAAAGATCACCTGAAAAGAGGAAAAAGAAACCCATAATAGAGACAATTTTTATGTAAAAATTCTTTATGTTCTAAGGAGAGAAATAGCAATGGGTGTGATATACAAAATATAAATTGTGTAGCTCAGGGAGCCATCACAAAACCAGAAAGAGCCTCACAGTAAATTGCCCTCATTGATACAGAGATTCCCTCACAAATAAATCCTATTTAGACAACACAAGGTGGGAGATTTGTGACGCTTGGAGCATTTGGGTTTCACATCATTGCCTGGAAATTTGTGACTCTGAATTTTCTATAAGCCCTTTAGTCCACAGGATCTGTGAAATCATTGGGCAGCATCTCTGACAGATACTATAGAGTCATGAAAATGGCTTTTTTCTCCCCAGAACAGCACTGTAAATACTTAAAGACCCCAGAGAGATCCAGAAGATGGAGGTATGGTTAGGGGCTGCCACTTTCTGTACAGGTCATTGTATCTGCCTCTAATTTGGAACAGCCTCGAGCCCCCTCTAAACTGGGCCAGTGACTGAAGAGCCCAGAGCTGACACTGAACTGAACCTTCCTACCTTAGCCTGCCTGCTCTTGGGCCCTAATTAAAACACTAATGAGATAACAGCAGTAATTGCACTGTAGGGTGGAAAGGAGCTGATAAAATTTAAGGACAAACCCTTCCTCCCCTCACTTTAGGGTTATTCCCCTCAGAGAGCACTGCTGAGGCAGGAAAGCATCCCTCTGCAAACAAAATCTAAACTGCAAATCTGAAACCTCCTGTTACAGCACAGTCCTGATTCCTAAAATCTGCTCCCCTGCTTTTTTTAATTTTTATTTGAACTGTCAGTTCATTTTTGGAGTGTTTCTAATTAAAACCCACAACCCTACAGTGTCTTAAAGCCACTTGACATGCTCGCTTGTTTGATCCTTATGAGAATAAATTAAAACTGGGGATAATGACTGAAGCATCACTTGCTGTTATTGGAGTCAGTGACCCTTTCAAGGGTGCTGTGAAAAGTTCTGGATGAAGGGCACTGAAATTTGACATGTGCCATGTACCCAGGGCAGCACAGTCAGACATCACTGCCCTCAGATGGGATTATGTCAAAATTCCATTTTGACACACAAAGTGCTGCCTTCCTCTTCCCTCCAGTGAACAGTGGCCACCACAAGTGGAAAACAACAGGGATTTCAGGAAGAGGACAGTTCTGAGACATCTTTCAGTCACTGCTCATGAGCTGGAGTTGAATTAATGAGGAATTGAAGTGGAGCTGTAGCTCTGTTTTGTGAAATAAGAAACAGGACAGGGCACAGGCCTGATGGGACAAGGGGGAATGGCTTGGAGGTGATGGAGAGTAGCTTGAGATGGGATATTGGGAAGAAATTATCTCCTGTGAGGGTGGGAACCTGGCACAGGGTGCCCAGAGCAGCTGGGGCTGCCCCTGGATCCCTGGCAGTGCCCAAGGCCAGGCTGGACAGGGCTTGGAGCACCCTGGGATAGTGGAAGGTGTCCCTGCCATGGCAGGGGGTGAAACAGGATGGGCTTTAAGGTCCCCTTCCATCCCAAACCATTCTATGACAACTCTGTGGGACAGCTATCCCAGGCCTCTGCTGGAAAAACAGAGACACAGAGGTTACAAGGAGAAATTGGTGTTATTTCCAAAAGAGGACTAACTAGAGGAGCACTAGAGGCTTTCCAAAAGAGGAGTAGAAGCTGAAATTCTAAATACTCCATGAAATTGCAGTTCCTGTGCACCTGGGGCAGTTACAACTGGCTTCAGCCACCTGAGTGAAGAGCCAAGAGCTCAGTGTCCAGCTCAGGTGAGCTGTGGTGACCCCCTGGACACATCTTGGTGTATTCCAGAAGCATCATTGCACCAACCAATATGATTGGAGTGCTGAATATTCTTAGAGGGATAAAACTTGCTTCTAAAGATGCAATTCTGTTGAAATATTATTTTTAAGGATTTTTTTCCTGTCAACAATTATTTCCACTGGCTTTGATTTCTCATTTTCTCACCTCTGTGCACTGAGCTGTTGCAGCACAGATGGTGTAACACAAGGATCAGGTCATGCAGGAGCTCTAAGCCTCACTGGGAAATAAAGATTGACCACAAAAATGCCTTTGATCATGGCAGCAGCCCTAAAGTCCATCTCCACATCACATTATTGTGTTGTATCCTGGGTACAAAACCTTGAATGAAGCAGTGGAATTGTTGGATTGATTGATTGATTGATTGATTTTCTTCTTGTCTGTGTGTGTAGAAGGAGCTCAGAGATTGACTTGAGCTGAAAACAGGGTAACTATTTTAGAGAAAATTGCAGAAAAAAAGGAAACTGAATATAAGTGCTGATTCTGTATATTGGGAAAGAAACCTGTATTTTTATTGACAAAACATCTGAAGGAGAAAATTTAGGTAATGATCTTTTTTTTTTTTTGTTTCATTCCTGAATGGATTTTGACTTCTACATATCCCACAAGAGAATTAATAATTGAGCACATTGGATGCTTTGAAACTTAACTTCTCATAGCATGGAAAGACACACTCTATTAGATATTTTCTCTTCAATTGAACACATTGGGTTTTTTAAATTCTTTTCTCAGAGTCACATAACCAAGTTATAATCACTGAAGCTAAAGAAGAGGCAAAGGGTTGGATAAAAATGCCAGGGAAGTGAATTCCTTAATAAAATCAGTGAATCTTCCTGATTTCATTAAGGAAAACACATTTCTTGTGTTCACTTTGAGATGTAAAACTGCCAAAGAACTGGTGAACCACAAAAACAGAGCAGGGTCAGAGGCCAAGTCTCAGAGAAGAGGCATCAGAGGCATCAGAGGCAGTTACCTGAGCTGCTTTTTCCTTCAGTGACTTCTGCTGTGAGCTCACCCCAGCTATGAACTGCTCTGCAATATTTCTCAGAGTTAAAACTGTATAAATTTGTCATTTTTCAAACAGGCAGATCAATTTTTTTCCCCCAAAACCTTTCATTCAGCTTTAATAGATTATCTTTTTTTTTTTTTTTTTCCCTCTTGTGCTTGAGAACTGAAGAGTTTTGAACCCTCTGGGGTTTTTTGTGTCTGGTTAAAAATAATTCACTACAACCAGTTAGTTGCTGCAGTGAGTGGGTGTATGAGGTGGGGGAGGCCCTGGAGTTCACTTCTGCCTCTGCCTTCATCATTTATTTAACTTTGACTAAGTTAGATTGCTGCTCAAAGCTCAGCTTCTCCAGCTCTAAAGCCACTTTAATTATTATCTATTTAAAAATGATCTATTTAAAA